CATTTAGAGAAGTCTGCGGTTTTTACTGGCTTATCGAATAAACGATACGAAGGAACCCTAGACCATCACTGACGCACAATTAACTGATTGCCCCTGGATGTCGGCTTCTTACAGAAACGCAGCTTCCCTATCGTGAAATGTCACTCCACGCCACTGGTGAACAGAGTTATGCACCCCCCGTAGATGTGTAACTGAGTCTGGTCTAATGATCTGTTCACGTTTGTTTAATCGATAAGCGCCGCCGTAGTTTATCGATTGCAATTTCAGGACATTTCACCTGTTATAGCAGAGTTGACCGTCGCGATTTGCGAAGGACCGTTCAGAATCGTGACGAAATCGGAATTAGGGGCATTAAAGTGGCGTCACGTGACTGTTTTATTTGACAGAACTAATCGATGATCACTTACAGTATTTAACTTCGTTGTCATTGATAATTCTATATCACCTTTTCGAATGTATAAAATAATATTTTTAAAAATGATCTTTTTATAGAGAATGAAATATTTCACTTTTAAATGATATCTAACTGTAATAAATTTATACAGTATATACTGTATTACTATATTATTTATGTTTTTACGTTTTATTTTATTTGCGAAAACACTTTTTTAATTTAAATACCGTCTTAACAAGAAATAAAATGTGAGATAACAATCGAAATAAAAATAATTTTCCACGAAAAAATTATCGTCTGCTTACAAAATAGCGAAACCGAGCATGCGCGAAGTGACAGTATCGTCTGGTAAAGAAATACGAGTAAGTTCAAACTTTTATATTTATTTATTCGGAAAATAATAATAAATGTAGCCTCTGTGATAAATGGACACGCTGTTCTTGTGCCAATATCGAAGAAAACGACAGTTTAACCATTTTAATTTGTCCTTGTATATAAAAGTATTTGCATCTTACCCCACGGGTGGGGCAAGATGGTGCATTTACGTATTATTTTAAAAAATTAAATTTTCTTGTTTTTAAAAACAATTTTCAAAAATTAAATTTTATATTACATATTACCAAATGTTGTTGTTGCCATCTTATGAGTTTTCAAACTGTAATGTCCTCATCCTGCCCCACCTTTTCCTGTATGTATATATATATATATATATATATATTACTACTTCATTGCACAAATATTCCATATAATTAGGCTATAGAGAAAAGGGGAAAACAATCAGAGATAACAAAAATGTTTAAATTTAATAGACAAACAGTTACTAATATCTGTGTACAGAATATTGAAAGAGAAATGATTTCACTGAAAAAGGGAAAAGGTTGTGGATGATTCGCCGCCGAAGCAGAAAATCAACATTCAAAGCAATGTTGCAAAGATGTTTATTACTTTGTCCAAAAACTGGCATTGTCGATTACCATTTTCTTTCTATTTGGCATGCTGTTTACCACTTTCTGATAAATGTTGGTGCTGCTAAATCTTTCTCACATCTCGCAAAAGGCTTCACACAGTTCTTCCGGGGTGGAAGCATTAAATGGCTCTCTTGCCATCTCCCCCACAGATGTTCAATGGGGTTTAGATGGCTCCCTTTCCTGGCCAGTTTAAGACGTCGATGTTGTTTTGACGTTCCAGCCAGTTTCTGGCCAATCTGGCTGTGTGAATTGGGGAGCGATCATGAACAAACGGGGCTTTTATAATGGGGTCCAACCATTGGAGAGAAGGTAAAAAATTGCCCTCTAAGATGTTGATGTATTTGGCTGCTGTAAGATTGCCATTTATTCGAACCAAGGAACTGGGTCCAGATGCAGACATCCATGCCCATACTCCTGAGAAACAAAAGAAAAAATTACTTAAAAGCATGAAAAACATGGTATAATTATAAATATCATGAATGCAATTAAGTTTTAATGCTTGTGTTACTGCATTGGTTATATGCTAATACTTACAGCAAATTTTATAAGTGCTTTCATTTGAACTACAGTACTTATAAACAGTTCATATTAAACTATTGAAAACAATCTGATGATGTTTTAAATGTTATGAAGATAATTAATAAGATAATATATTTGTATTTTTGTAATATTGTAAGACAAGTATCAAATAATTAAGAGCAATACCTCACACATTATCATCTACTACTTTGTAATTTAGTGATTAAATCGAATCTTCAGAGAAGGAATACGACGAATACGGAGTATAAATGGTTGGTCATTATACAATGAAATACCTCACAGTGTATTTCTTTGAACATAATTCGTGAAAAGGTATTAGTCATTCTATCTTTTAGTTAGTTGATTCGACATTGTTTTAAGTTACGCCTGCTTGAAACGTATTGGCTGTGAATTGTTATTGACTGACATGAGAGTAGCTAATCAGAGGGAACAAAAATATAAACATAATGAATTTACCAGAAATGCAGATATACTGTATGTAACTTAACAGTTAGAATAACTGTTATAACTATTAATTCTTTGTACATCATACTTGCCGTTTAACAGGACTTTTCTTTAAAAAAACAAATATTCTAAACGTTGTCTTATGTATAAGAATTTTATTTTGGAATGTCGCAGGAATAGATGATGGAGGGGAGGAAAGAAGTTCATAAAAGTTTTGTATTTTGAAAATTAAAAGTTGTTGCCAAAGCTTTTTAAATATTTACTACTTTTCTTTCTTTAAAAATAGTATGAACAGTAGAACTTCAGGAATGAGTAATGCAAAGATTTTTAAAATTGGTTCTAACTTTATAACTGCTAACTATATATTTTGTACTAGTTTTTTAAAGTTATTAATTTAAGTTTTTTTTTTTATTTCTATCAAGTGACGTAACATCTCTTGTTTTCAGCATGTTGAAAGAATACATAAAATTCTTAAAAGCATGAAAATAATAAAAAAGAACTAGTTCACAGGCTACTAACAAACAAGAACATAATATGTGCTCTTAACAATGACTGTTACGTAAAATGATCATTAACTAATTCACACCAACGACAATGTTTAATTAATATTACGACCTCAATGCAGTAATGAATTAGGTTGTAAAACCAAGAACTCATAAGATGGTAACTACCTGCATAGTGTTTTTGGGCTGCAATTTGAAAAAGTTTAGACATAAATTCCAACTGTCATCTGTCTGCTCCTCTTTCCTTAATCTGGAAAACAGAGTTAGATAGATTACAAATGAGACCAGATAAGAAATTCTTAGGGAAAGAGGCCCAGATTGACTATATACAAACTTCTGATCTAAATCAGAAGTCACGTTATTTCAAATCATAAATTTTCCCCTGAAAGATGTTAGATAGATGACTGGCATGTCTTTAATTTTAAAGGAAAAGTATGATGTACAGGGGCTAGCCACTATGAATTTGAGGTGGACGACTGTATTTCAAAGTAAGTAAAATAAAAATATGATTAGAAATTGCAGCTTGGATTTGTGACATTATCATAATAAATAATTGCTTAATCTATCAGCCAATTTCTTCAGGAATTTGAAAACAAACTTTATTAAGTTGAAAACCTTGAGAAGTTTTTAGGTATATCTGTCCTTGATGTTTTGGACCCCATTTCACCACCCATTTGTTCCATTATGGTCTTGGTGAAACTCAAAATAAACTTTATACGAGGTTCTTATGTACCAGTACCTGAAAAGTCTGATATATATGTTAATGTAAAAAAAAATACAGTGGAAAATGAAGAATTTTGGAAATTTTCATATTCAACTGCTTTTGCTTTGTTTATTTTATTTACTGATTGTATGGATGAATAGATATATAAGTTATTATCAATTTTTTTTTCTTTATATTGTATACTTAGAGGTTAAGTTTTTAAGCATTTTTTAAACATGTACTGTACAAATGTATTAAATGAGTTTATATTAATATGTAAATCTTATTACATATATGTCTTTTTTAGTGTTGTATTACAATATGAGATGATATTTTAAAATCACTCAAAATTAACCCTAATAAGTCATGATCACAAATATTTATAGAATTTTGTTTAATGCTCAGACACGTGTTTATTAGTCTTTCTGAATGTTGTATATAAATTTTAATTTGGTCTGTAAAAGAGGTAATGTGATTAAATATAACATTCACACTGAAGAAATATTTAACATATTGGCTAATGCCCATGTTGCTATTGACCATGACGAAGAAACCATATGGAAAAAGAATTAAGTTTGAAATATAAAAATATTACAAGGGGGATGACCATAATCAATTCAAAATTATGTGAAATCTGCAAGAAATAACAATGTTCTTAAGAAAGGCTTTGTACTTGAAGTAATTTTCTGTAATGAAATGAACTCAAGATATCAGGTCAATCTTGCAGATNTCACATAGTCAAAATATTAAAAATAAAAAATGGTACGAATTAAATTACAATTATTATTGCTTTATTTTCAATTCCGGAAGAGTTCATTAACACCTGCTCTCACCTTGAGGATGCGAAGGATAATGGCGACTAGTTCGGACAGTTAAAATTTTAAATTAAATTGGTTTTAGGAGTTTCCCCTAATGTAGAATTTAGCCTAACGCATTCGTTTTATAATCGAAACATGTATTAAAGTTTAAATATGCCTTTCGAAATATACCGGAAGCTCGGCCGATTTCTTTCGGAGCGTGTCGTTGTCCTCCCTGCTGAATTGTATAATGGTTTCTTAGCATCGACAGGTAGTAGTGTCTATAATTTTTACTTAGAATATTCTGAAATTATTCTAAAATAATGCGATTTTATAGCGCGAAAGCAGTCTTATCGCACATGTATAAATTAACGGTGACGGCGCGCGCACGTTAAGGGGATGTCCGTAAATTACGTCCGCAAAGGAAGGGGACGGGAGATTCGACAAGGGGAGAGCTTGGTCGAACGTCCGTTTATTTCGTTACATTTTAAATACTGCATTTCATTAAATTTATTTGAGAATTTGTGATACGGTTCGTAAAATCTTAAAGATTTGAAGGGGAGTCAGCTTTTATAAGACCTCCAAAGAGGGGAGGGGGTGACGGAAAATTGGATAAACTGGGACGAGAGGGCGAGTTAATATTTGAAGAAAAATGCGGGCATAATTTATGAACAGCCTTTAAGTGTAAATTTCGCTAAATGTTTATTTGCGTGATTAATTAATTAATTAAATTAACAATAATATTCCTATCCTAAGCAGTCCATTTTTGGCCTCGGTTTCGCTCTCCACAACAGGATATTGTAACGGTTTTTCGCAACTTCAACTTCTGATTGTCCTACAGAAAGCGATGCCCTTCGTAAACTTTGGGAATGTCGTCCAAGACCTTTCGTAAGTTTATAATTTCTATATTTGTTAATTAAAAAAAATTATATTAAGTATAGTTTTTGTGGACTTGAATTTTCATAACAGATAATATTAGTTTATTTTTTATTCGGATCAATGGACAAACTATTAGCGTAAAGTAATGCAACCGAAAAGCGAAACTAAAAGTCTTAAATTTTTAAAATATATTTTAACTTTTTGAATTAATTATTTAAAGTATAATTAGTAAAAGATATATTACTCATTTATTAAAGTAATTATTTCTAAGTATAAGAATATATTGGATAATTATAATAGTAAACACTGTCTTAAATCATGCTTTATAATGATAGAACAATTTTAGGTTTCGTGATTGAATAATTTAATGAATTTGAATACAATTTCTACCATACTATTTTCTAGCATGAATTTTTATTAATATTTGAATTCCAATTTCGTTTCTCTCCCTCCCATATTTTGTTATATAAATAAATAATAATTAATTATTTAGAAATTACCTTATAAACGCCATACTAGCCTGTACAAAATGCCTACTGCTGATCGTACATATTCGATTCCGTTTTCGATATCGGTCCAATTCCATCAATAGACTCGTCCGTCTACTTCGCGATGTACACGAATCGTTTATCGTTTTATTCGATTCCGATTTGTATACTTTAACATGTTTTATGTAAATTTTTATTATTTTCTTTCATTGTGGTTACAATAAACGATCTAAATATATGTCGGTGCTGAGCCGCGCTAATAATCTTTTTTATCACATGTTTAATAAAAATCGTGAGTAAGAACTAACAATTTTAAGTAGTGGTTTTATTTTATTTTTTTAAATTTACTTTTGAATTAATTTTACTTTTTTTAGCTATCGTTGTTAGGTTATTCAGTTAAAGAAAGTAGATAATTTTTTCTTACCGTTTAATTAATTAATTGCACTCTCCACCTTAAGTCTCCCATTGAATTTTGAGAGCTGAAATCGTATATTATCGTAATATAATATTACTATAGTTTGATACTAGTGTAGGGACGATAGCAAAATTTCTCTCGGTTCCAGTTCCGATTCTTTTGAATATTTTCTATAGTTTATTCTAGTTTAGAAAAACTATATATTACTATCACCGTCCAGTCATTAAATTAACTACTTACCGCTCGACCTTTAATCATCAAAAGGTAAAAGCATCAATTCCCTAATAATTACGCACGCACTTTACAGAGCTCCAACCTCATCCGGTTTAGCCGGTGGAAGCCCAGGACCTCGGGTGGATGCTACACATATACCGCGTCCAATTCTATTCAGGACCGGTTCTGGGCTGTTAACCCCCTGCCCGCTAGATATTTGGCCGCCCTCGCCCGATTACGTGAATCACACGAGTAGATTTATAACTTAACCCAACCGATAAGAATTTACTGGTATGTTTTTACGATAGTTCTGTATAGTTGACGGGAGTTTAAAAAATTCATTAAAATATTTGATATTTTTATTCCGCTCTCCGATTTTATATTACTCTCGGATTTCAATGTTAAACCAGTAATATTGCGATTTCGTATATCAATCTTTAAGGGGATGTAGAAAAAAACGTGCACAATTCTTGTATAATGTTAAAAAATTAACTGTTACTTATGCAGCGTCATATACAACTAAATTTCATGAATGAGAGAGATGCACCAGGTACAGAAAAAGCTTTAGAATTTATTTTCCTTACATTTACGATTTATGTATCCGTTTTGTCATAAAAATTTGTCTTTTTACTATTATGGCGAAACTACAAATATTCGAGTACAGAGTAACCGGTTTCTACTTATTTCTACTTAAGAAGTGGTTAAATAATTAAGATCTTAGGGAATTGGGGACATAAACAAAACCCTGATGAAAGAGCCGAAATTTTACTTAAACAAAACCTTAACCGAACCAATCTAGCTGAATACAGTGGGGTCTGATTACTTCGTAATATTAAATGTAATAAAGAGAGTAATTTTTCCAGTTCAATGACAGTGACGGAAAAGTTGTAAATTTTGAAAACTTTCGTGGACCCTGGTCCTAAAACGAATTAGTTAGAAAACAAACGACGGACAATCTATTAACATATTTAGATTTTTATACTCATGAGAAACGTTTAAAATCTACAACCCTGTCGCGACCTTTGAGATACACTAGTCATGCGACAAGAAGCATTTGACATTGACCGGTATTGCACCCTGGGGATTTGGCAGCCCGCGTGCATGCGCCTACCAGGACCGTCTCTGATTCTATCTATTAGTCACTCGTAAGGAGCTGTTTGAATAAGTGGATGGTTTTAAGATTTAAAAAGTAAAGGTTTTGTTATTTTTATGTACGTTTCTTTACAAAGCAATATTTAATTACAATTTTTCTTAAAAGTATATTAATATAATTGAAGAATATTTTGTACTAGGTATGTACTGTACATTCACCACACATTTTATTTCATTGAGTAAGTTTTTTATTTTATTTATAATTTTAGCCTTTATATCGTGGCTAGCGATTCGGAATGTAATTGTGATATTAAAAATGCATTTAGAGAAGTCTGCGGTTTTTACTGGCTTATCGAATAAACGATACGAAGGAACCCTAGACCATCACTGACGCACAATTAACTGATTGCCCCTGGATGTCGGCTTCTTACAGAAACGCAGCTTCCCTATCGTGAAATGTCACTCCACGCCACTGGTGAACAGAGTTATGCACCCCCCGTAGATGTGTAACTGAGTCTGGTCTAATGATCTGTTCACGTTTGTTTAATCGATAAGCGCCGCCGTAGTTTATCGATTGCAATTTCAGGACATTTCACCTGTTATAGCAGAGTTGACCGTCGCGATTTGCGAAGGACCGTTCAGAATCGTGACGAAATCGGAATTAGGGGCATTAAAGTGGCGTCACGTGACTGTTTTATTTGACAGAACTAATCGATGATCACTTACAGTATTTAACTTCGTTGTCATTGATAATTCTATATCACCTTTTCGAATGTATAAAATAATATTTTTAAAAATGATCTTTTTATAGAGAATGAAATATTTCACTTTTAAATGATATCTAACTGTAATAAATTTATACAGTATATACTGTATTACTATATTATTTATGTTTTTACGTTTTATTTTATTTGCGAAAACACTTTTTTAATTTAAATACCGTCTTAACAAGAAATAAAATGTGAGATAACAATCGAAATAAAAATAATTTTCCACGAAAAAATTATCGTCTGCTTACAAAATAGCGAAACCGAGCATGCGCGAAGTGACAGTATCGTCTGGTAAAGAAATACGAGTAAGTTCAAACTTTTATATTTATTTATTCGGAAAATAATAATAAATGTAGCCTCTGTGATAAATGGACACGCTGTTCTTGTGCCAATATCGAAGAAAACGACAGTTTAACCATTTTAATTTGTCCTTGTATATAAAAGTATTTGCATCTTACCCCACGGGTGGGGCAAGATGGTGCATTTACGTATTATTTTAAAAAATTAAATTTTCTTGTTTTTAAAAACAATTTTCAAAAATTAAATTTTATATTACATATTACCAAATGTTGTTGTTGCCATCTTATGAGTTTTCAAACTGTAATGTCCTCATCCTGCCCCACCTTTTCCTGTATGTATATATATATATATATATATATATTACTACTTCATTGCACAAATATTCCATATAATTAGGCTATAGAGAAAAGGGGAAAACAATCAGAGATAACAAAAATGTTTAAATTTAATAGACAAACAGTTACTAATATCTGTGTACAGAATATTGAAAGAGAAATGATTTCACTGAAAAAGGGAAAAGGTTGTGGATGATTCGCCGCCGAAGCAGAAAATCAACATTCAAAGCAATGTTGCAAAGATGTTTATTACTTTGTCCAAAAACTGGCATTGTCGATTACCATTTTCTTTCTATTTGGCATGCTGTTTACCACTTTCTGATAAATGTTGGTGCTGCTAAATCTTTCTCACATCTCGCAAAAGGCTTCACACAGTTCTTCCGGGGTGGAAGCATTAAATGGCTCTCTTGCCATCTCCCCCACAGATGTTCAATGGGGTTTAGATGGCTCCCTTTCCTGGCCAGTTTAAGACGTCGATGTTGTTTTGACGTTCCAGCCAGTTTCTGGCCAATCTGGCTGTGTGAATTGGGGAGCGATCATGAACAAACGGGGCTTTTATAATGGGGTCCAACCATTGGAGAGAAGGTAAAAAATTGCCCTCTAAGATGTTGATGTATTTGGCTGCTGTAAGATTGCCATTTATTCGAACCAAGGAACTGGGTCCAGATGCAGACATCCATGCCCATACTCCTGAGAAACAAAAGAAAAAATTACTTAAAAGCATGAAAAACATGGTATAATTATAAATATCATGAATGCAATTAAGTTTTAATGCTTGTGTTACTGCATTGGTTATATGCTAATACTTACAGCAAATTTTATAAGTGCTTTCATTTGAACTACAGTACTTATAAACAGTTCATATTAAACTATTGAAAACAATCTGATGATGTTTTAAATGTTATGAAGATAATTAATAAGATAATATATTTGTATTTTTGTAATATTGTAAGACAAGTATCAAATAATTAAGAGCAATACCTCACACATTATCATCTACTACTTTGTAATTTAGTGATTAAATCGAATCTTCAGAGAAGGAATACGACGAATACGGAGTATAAATGGTTGGTCATTATACAATGAAATACCTCACAGTGTATTTCTTTGAACATAATTCGTGAAAAGGTATTAGTCATTCTATCTTTTAGTTAGTTGATTCGACATTGTTTTAAGTTACGCCTGCTTGAAACGTATTGGCTGTGAATTGTTATTGACTGACATGAGAGTAGCTAATCAGAGGGAACAAAAATATAAACATAATGAATTTACCAGAAATGCAGATATACTGTATGTAACTTAACAGTTAGAATAACTGTTATAACTATTAATTCTTTGTACATCATACTTGCCGTTTAACAGGACTTTTCTTTAAAAAAACAAATATTCTAAACGT